AGGAGAGCAAGCTGTAATGGAAGTGATTTCTTGGCTAAGTGCAGTAGGGGTGTTAAACTCATGTGAGTTTAACTGCATCCTGAGATACATGGGCACTTCTCTCTGAATTCACTCTGCTAGAAAATGGGGAGAATGTTTGTTTAAAGGCTAAATGCACCAGCACATCCATTCTGGTTGTGTTCAGAGCTATGACCAAGTGTTTTTTTCACAATTGTACTGCATGCCATCCATTTCAAACAGAAATATTTGTCCAAAATTGATTCCCAACTGTTTGACAAGTATCAGACAAAACCCATAATTAGGTCTGTGAATTGAAATGTCTGATGGCATATTGCCTTCTAACAATATTAGAGAAGTTAGGCTAAGAGCCATTTTTTGTCTACAGTGTCTTAGCATAATGAGGATGAATCAAGCTTTTGCAGTTCAGATTTAACAATGCAGACATAATTTTTTCCTCTGTCTCCCCAAATACTTCTGTAGTGAAGCCCAATGGCTGTGGACATGCTGTTCTGCTGTGGGCTGTGCTGCAGTAAAAGTCCAAACCAGGAGCTGGATTGTTGTGAAATTATCTCAGCACAGAGCTGGAACCCAGATATCCTCAGCTGCAGCATGTATGTAGTGATAATGGATGTTTTTTTCTCTGGCCTTTTATTCTTTCAAGTGCCTGATGTTACCACAAGTGTTATTAGAAGCCACATGTTCCAAAACAGTGGTCTCAGCCTCTTAAATAATGCAAGGCAACCTATTACTGATACATTTGTCTTACTGCTATAGCTTACCAGAGATCTTGAAATCTCAGCTGTGACAAAGTTGATTAATTCTAGGTGTTACCTTTTCTTGTTCAAGTGACTAAACCTAGATTAATCAATACAAAAAGTCAGATGTTTTAACCAATATTTTATTGTCAGCATTTCAGTAAAAATACTGAAATAAACTTAACTCAGAATTGAGGACTTTGGAAGGTACATTGTACTTCACTATCCAGTTGACATTTATAGAAAAGAGAGGACCTAAAAAGTGGAAAAGGACAAATACAGATTATATTTCATTTACAGAGAAACAGTGCTTTGTATATATAGATGACTTAAGCTAAAATGAAAAGTTGATTTAGAATAATTTCCATCTTCATACCCTGAGAAAAGAAGGCCGAGAAAAAGGAAGTGTAATCGATCACAGCAGCCTGCAGTTGTGATAAAACATATTAAATATTCAGTGTTACAAAGTTGATTAATGTACCTTCTGGCATTTGTAACAAGTAAATAATACTTAAGATTTCATACAAATATTTAAGCTGCTGTCGTGTATAATCAATACTTGCAAGATGCTGTGACTGTTGATCTAAGCCTCTCTTGAGAACCCAAAGTAAGGTAATGTACTTCAGCTTTTATCAGCTTCATCTTCCTCATTGGTTTCACAGCATTTGTAGAGGGAGCAGCAGTAGGAATGTGAGAGGAATTACAAGTATCTGCAAGAAAGCAAGACTGGAAAAGAGTAGGAGGAGATGAAAAACTTGTAATCTTTTTTAAAACTCTTAGCTTAACAATGTCTTTCCAGGCTGTCCTCTGTATGGAAGAAGACTGCAGACTACTGTGCTCTCCAGGGGGCCTGTGATAGAGCAGCCCTTCCAAGCAACCCATGAGAAGGATATTTGTATCCGAGGTCTCGTGATTGGAAATTGTCCTTTGCGTAGAACAAATTTCCATGGTTGTTGAGAGGAGTTGTTTGAAGCATTGGGCTGAGAGGTTCCAGCCAATTAGCAGCTTTGGGAAAAGACCTATTTTCATTCTCAAGAAATGGGATAAACTATCCATGTCTAATCAAGCACCAAGGCCACAGTAGTTTTGAAAATACTTATATAGGACCTAACTCCTGTTAAGGACAATGAAGGATTGGATTTATTATTGTTTCATTGAAAGCACCTTTGGACTTTTCTCTTTGGTTTTATTAACAGACTGCTAAGAATTCTTTTGTCCATCTGTGTTCCTCTTTTTGGAGGTCACTGTGTGTACAGGAACAAATGGCTCTGCTCACTCTGACCAACATGCCAGGGAGCATTGTGCTAGCAGCAGGCTCAGAGCCCCGTGTGGTGAAGGGGAGCAGAGAAGTGGCATTGCCTTTGGTCCTTGGCCACGCCTGGGGTGCCTCATCCCTGCTTGGAGTCTGGTTCCCTTGAGCTGTTTTTGGGCTAATGTGAGGAGGTGCTTTTCTTGTGCTCTCTTTTGTGCAGCTCTCAAGGACCATATGCACTTACATATAAATAGAAGACACTTCCATAGCCTTCCAGTTAACGCCTATGGCAATGCATCCTGCTGTACTTCATTTACAAGGATTAGCAAAGAAGTGCTTAAGATCTCTTCCTTCCTGGTCAGCTTTCTATTGTACAAGTAATATGGTACAGGTCCTGTGCTCTGTTTTAAGAAAGAACTTCATCCTCCAAAAAAAAAAAAAAAAAACAACTTAAAAAAATAGTAGCTATACACGCTTCATCTTCCAAAAAAAACCCCAACTTAAAAAAATAGTAGCTATACACAGCATTTACGATAGGTTTTAATAAAATACTTGAATATTTGTTTTCAAATGAACAAATAAGCATACATTTATGTAGTCTATTAATTCTGGATGTCCTTAGGACATTATTAAAGTGATCTGTCTCTCCAAATGCACTGGAAGACTTTGATTAGTTAGCAACAATATTAACAGTATCTCTCTTACATATTTTTATATGTTAGAGAAGACATAAGCATGAAGAAAATTTAGAGGCAAACTTAAATGTGTGCTTTCACTGCTGAGATAAAGCCTCCAGAAAGATTTATACTTTATAGCTCACTGCATATGCATTGGGAGAAGCTACTTTTGTGGCACAAATACCCTTCTTTGTTGCTTACCAATACCCGTATTCAGTGGCACAAAGAACAACTGTTGTAAAAAATATTAGTATGCAGATGCTCTGGTGTTTTGTTAATGCATTTAATTAAATACAATAACTCTTTTGTTTGCTTTTCTTTTTCTGTCCTTGAATGGATTTGTATTATGGTATAGAACCTAGGCTTAGAGTTGCTGTTTAAAATGTTTTGCAGTTTCAGAATGTGTGACACATCCAAGTTAGTTACTTTTCTTTTGTTCTATTAAGAAAGTCATTTGGGTATGTTAGTAGTTTCTGATAAGTTTGAGAGCATCTTTTCAGGAAAACTCAAATTCCAAAGTTGCCAGCAAATATTTTCACCATTAATTTGGTCTTCAGTGACAGTTAGGCACTCGTTAAATAATTGTATTCCTGAGAGACTTTCAGATGTTTTAACCTAAGAAATTTTTCTTGAACATTTTCTAGCTAGTTTTCACAAAAGAATTTTTTTAAAAAGCACAGCAAAACTGTACTTTATACTTTTATATGAAAAACTGTAGCAGTAACATGATTGAGCAGTTGTAACCTACACACAGGTTTTGCAGAAGCCATCATTACTGTCTTGTGTTGTTACCCATAAAATTATTTCAGAATTATTCTCAGCCTGAGAAAAGGTTTCTTTAGTGCCCTGTGGATGGGTGGAACCATATGAAATGGCTGTGTCAAGTCTAAAATTGCTCTGCTGAATCAGCAAATATTTGAGCCCAGAGTACTTTGAAAACACAGCAATATTTGCCAGATCCTATCCCTCCCATGGCAACAAGGACCAAATCAAATGAGGATGTAAAAAGGTAATTAGGAGACCCTAAAGGTAACACATGGCTAACTTATTTCTGAAATTCTGAGCCCCCTTAACTCCAAAAGATATTTCTGACACAGAGTGTGTGGGAGGTGTGTGTGCTGAAGGTTGCTTCTCAAGCAATGACCTTCTAATAGTCTTTTGGTGTTCCTTGGAGATAAGTCATGTTCTTCAGTGGGTGCAGTTTCCTTTAGAACAAGAGGAGTCATGGTCAACCATAAAATCCTCCATAAATCTTTCTGTCACTGATAGAAGGAGCTACTACAGGTGAAGGAAGAGCTAAGTGTGTTGCAGCTGATGCTTCTCAGGTACTTTACTGGGTGCATCAGAAGACAGCTCTGGAGAAGGCAGCAGGCATTTTGCTTACCACAGGGGTCTGTCTTGGCACCTTTCTTGGCTAAAAAAAAAATGCTTGTTAGTTGCTGGTAATTGTTCTTGTCACTTCTTACTAAATACAAATTGGACAGTTTTGCTTTAGGCCTTCAGCATCAGTGCTTGTCAGTTGCTGGTAATTGCTCTTGTCACTTCTCACAAGCACTAAATACAAATTGGACAGTTTTGCTTTAGGCCTTCAGCATCAGTGCTAGGACATTGTACCCAGAGTGCCAGGATCATCATATATGGACAAAAACTGTCGTGAGAGGCCAAGCAGAAATTGCAGTTTAGTGCTCTCTTTTTTGAAGTGAGGACAATTACAATACTGGGGCAAAAACCCCCTTCCCCTCACTGTGCTTGTTTGATCCACATTGTAGTTAGAGCAAGGGATTCCAAATGAGACCATGAGCTCTGACATCGTGGAGAGGAAATGGGCAAGCAATCTGTGAAAGCACAGATCTGTAATGTCACTGTAATTATTTATTTTTTTCCCATTTTGGAGAAACATGGCATAATTAGAGTTGCAGTCATCAAGGGAAAGTACAAGAATTCTGATTACTCACTGAAAGCCTCCTCATCCACAACCTTCCATGTAAATAAAGTTAGTTTCAGTTACGCTTCAAGTAAACTTTCAATCTATCTATAAATATGTTAAAAAAAAAACAAAACAAAACCAAAGCATACACACACACCCCAAAAAATCACCTAGAACTACTGCGAATTTGTGTGAGAACATCATTCTGGTTTCAGTTCCAAGATAACTTAATGTTCTTTAAGGCTGGAAGAGAACATAGTTTCATTACAACTGCACATATTAAGGGTTTTGTATGAAATGAGCATCTCAATGCAAGGGAAAGAAAGCAGCATTGTTCCAGGGCTGTTTTTCACAGGCCTGTATTCATATCTCATCCTTGTTGTTTGCAGGAGAGGCAGATGTGAACCAGAACAATGGGACCTCCACGACGAGCCCAGCGGTGACAGACTCCAAAGGCACAGCAGACCCAAAGAATGCCTGGCCCGAGGCCAACCCAGCTGACAGGACTGGTCGCCCCCACTTGATCCGCCTCTTTTCCCGAGATGCCCCAGGAAGAGAAGACAACACCTTCAAAGATCGGCCCTCAGAGTCAGACGAGCTACAGACCATCCAAGAGGACAGTGCAGCAGCTTCAGAGAATTCGGATTTGATGGCTTCACAAAAACGCTCCTCTTTCCGGCACGGATCAAAACTGGCATCTGCGAGCACTATAGACCATGCCAGACATGGATCCCCACGGCACAGAGACTCGGGTCTGCTTGACTCGCTGGGCAGATTCTTTGGAGGTGAAAGGCACGTTCCCCGGCGGGGCTCGGGCAAGGTGAGCTCTGAGGAATAGAGAACTGCAAGGCTACAGCAAAACACAGTACAATTAAAGAGGCAGGGTGGGTCTGAAAGAAAGGTCTCACTGCTATAGGGCAAGAGTTGACCTAGCCAGCAGGATGGTACTTGTAATATAATGCTTGGCTTTTAAAAAAAAGGCAACAAAAAAAAGCAAAGATCTGGGAAACAAGAGAATCGACTCTGGGTAGTAACACGGAGTATTAGAAATCCAGGGGGCTCTAGAAAGATTACTGGGAGGAATTTTTATGAGCTTTTAATGTGGTGTGCTGTATGTATTTCTATGCTGTGCCATTTAGAGAAATTTCAGTCTGCTTTTGTGTGTTATTCTTAAATATTTGCAAAAGGGAGCTGGATGAGAGCACTAAATGCAAGACGATCTCCACATATCTTGGCACTAACTGAGGGACAAACTTGGAAATAGATGTTAGAAAAGGAATTGTGGCCAAATTCTCAGCCTGCCTGTGCAAGAGTATGTTTAAGGTCAGTTGACAGCATTGCCGGGGAGATGGCTTGACAGATATTATCCTGAATCCCAGGTGAACAAAATAATCCAGCTGCTTTATTCTGACAAGAAGTTGAGATTTATTCCAAGCATTTCATATTAGAAATTGCATAATGAGCCATTTCTACACTGTCAATTCAAAACCAAGGCATTGATGAAAGGCTGTTAATTCCATTCTTCCCTTTTCCAGGATACCTGCCTCTTCTGATAAATTATGCAGCTGGCATATTAGTTCACTGTTATTCAAGTGGCAAAGTTTAAGATGTTTTGGCTGTACCTTTTGCCATGTAAATGATAAATGGAGTCTTGTGTTTGTGTGTGTCCACACACTCATAAGCATTCGAATGGATCTTCTGTAGGGCTGTAAAACTTTTAGCTGAATTTGTTGCAGTTGCTCAAGTTGTGTGTCGCAAAAAGCAGCATTCATAGTTGCTGGCTGAGCCTACATTTTTGAAAATTCTTTGACAACCTTTGAGGTCTGTTCAGTGTTCCATCCTGAGATCTGTGCTGTCTCTCAGTGCTGCACTGGGACAGGACACAAACTGCCCTGTGGTGTAAAACTGATCTGTGGCCATCCGTGTCCTTCACAGCTCCACATCTGGAAGCACAATGTGTAATAGCCCTTCCCTGAAGAGTTGTTGTAATGTAGAGACCACTGGATGAAAAATACTCTAGAAACTTAAAACCAGAAGCTTCTCACACTTGGTGGGCAGTACTAAGCAAGCTGGCTGTTTTGTTCTTTTTATTTCTCACCTTTACCAACTTGGGCCTGTAATGCTATTGACAAAGATTTAGCAGCCAGACAGTTTTTTTCTGTAGTAACATTTCTGTGTGTAATGTTCCTAAATACAACAAGCCGTTGCTGTGAGCATGAGGAAAACCTTTTTTCTTACTGTTACTGCAAATAACTGAGACTATTCCCAGCTGCTGTTTTCTGGGACCTGCTTGGCCAGCTCAACTCTTGCTGTTGTGTTCATGTACTGTGTTACTCGATGGAAAATAGTGTATGAAATGTTCTTTGTACACCAAGGTGTGACAATGCCAAAAAGTTAGATTCTGCATACAGAATATACAGAGGTATGTGCATTTCTGCGTGGCAATAAATCAAACCAATTAACTCAGTTTTTAGGAGTAATGACTAAAAAATGTCTGCCAACTGTACAAAGTCTGTATTTTATCCTTTGGCGTGAACATGGTTGCATTGATTCTCTATAGATTTTGGTGTAATTATGTATGAGAGGGCAGGAGATCATGTATTTATCTCTGCTATAAAATGCTATTTTGAAGAACTTAAATGTCTGCAAAACAGAACAGAATTATGGACAATTCTGACATTTTTTACCAAGCAGAAGTAGTTGTTTGGGATTTTTTTCCCTTAAGAAGATCTACTCATAGTGTTACAGAGTCCTGATTTGCAGATCTGAGCTGGAAGCACAAAGTTGAATTATTTTGGCAAAAGTCTGTCACATTAGGACTTCCAGTGCCAAAGCACCTCTAGCACTCTTCCACACAATGATATTGATGTACAACCTAGGAAACATTCCTAGGAAGCTCTCTTGTGGGAGGGCTTCAGTGTGGAAAGTATTGAGCAAGTGGCACAGTCATTTCAACTATTATTTATTTAGCCTCTAAAACAATGCCTTTTGGTTTCTTGTATCAAGAAAGGCTTGTGGTGTCATTTATTTATACAAGAGTAGACAGAGGAAATGTAGATGGCTCATTTGTGCTTAAACCCTAAATAGTTGTTGCCATTTGCTGAATTTTGTAGAGGATCACTGATAGATGATGAAGGTGTTCATGGACCAGCCGAAATAGAATGAAGTCCTTTGGCAGTATTCCAGACTTCACTAAGTAAACAGGTCTTTGGTAAATAAGATGCCACTTAAAGCACCTTAAAGGATGAATTTCAAAGGCTTGAAAAGTTCCTAGAGCTGCACTGTTTATTTGCTTGCACTTTTTTCTTTCTTTATTTTGAAGCATTTCAAAGCAATTCTGCAGCTGCCTTTCTTGCAGTCTTCCTTTTTCAGCCAGCCCATGCCTCAGTGGGAGCATCTCAACTACCCACACTGCAAGCACTGGAATGCAAAGACAACACTTGCTCTTTGTACAGATTTAGGGCTGACATTCAAGCAAAACACATTATAAATTCTTTGTGGAGGCATTTTCTTCTTGCATCCATAGCTAAGAAGTACATTAATGAAGAATATTCACTATTGTGTCCAGAAAGGTGGGGTGGGAACAATGCTGGGACTGTTTCATGGCCTCCTTTTCTTGTGTGGAGCAGGTTCTCCCCTGCTCTTCAATTCTGAAGCTAAGTTGCATGGGAGTTCCATGGGAGTTGTTAAAAATAGAAATACTGGAATGTACAGAAATACACCTTTTCCTGTGAGGGGCAGCAAGTGCATTTGCCATTTTTCCCCCAATCCCATCGAGATTTGGATAGATGAAACTCAGTTAAAACCAACTTGAATTTTGTATTTTTAAGAAAAACTTTTGAAATATAATATTTGAAACAAAACTGTTGTTGTGCACAGCTCAAATTTAATCGTATTAAAAAAGAATTTTAAATGGTGACAGAAATAAACTGTGGTGCAGACATTTTAAATAGCATGAAAGAGAGAGTAGCATAACAATAAATTATTTCCTTTCTAATCTTTATAGAATATTTGGCTAAGCAAGTTTGTTAAAACAATCAAATGTTCTTTGTGCCTCCTAGATTCTGAGCCTGTATTCAACTTCAGTATGTACTGACTGCTATTTTGTTTCTTTGATGCAGTTTTTTATGATTTTGTTATCCTTTTGTTTATGATCTTTCTTTTTCTACTAAAGTTAGTTTGGATTGTGAAACAAGAACTTTTCTGTCCTGGTTTAACATTTTGCATTAACGTACTAAACTTTAAACTACACTTGTGACACAGATCAAACAAACCAAAATATGTGAGTGACAGTAAATAATAGGTGAGGCAAGACTTAGTGAAAGATTAAATCAATTTCTGTTTTACATTTTGCTTCAGTTTTGTATGCAAACTTGTAACAGTCTCCTGTTGTCTGAATGTAGCCTTGCTCCTGTATTTCCTTCCCAAATTCTGTGTGTTTGGGTGCAAGAAATATGGAATGTAGAGATGGGGCTTCCCCATGCTACAGACAGATACAAGGCAAGAGCAGCAGCACTGGACTGAAGTTCTTCTCAGCTTGAGCAGAACCAGGGTTTGGGATCAGCATTTCTGAATCAGCAGTTCCAAACCCACTCCTGACCTAAGCAGTTGCTAGAGTGGGGATCTACAGAAATGGTTGTGATAACCACACAAAGGCAAAAAGTTTAGGAACCACAGTTTTAAATAATGCCGTGGAGGGATAAAATAATCAGAATCTTTTTTCGCACTTGAACTCTATTCACATTTCTTGTGGGAGCTTTAATGTATACTACAGCACCATGAAGAATTTGAAAAGCAGTAAAATCAGTGCTAGTCTGACTAGTATATGATGTGATTTAAGTAAATACTTACTGTGATTTTAATTTCCAAGTCCTAGTTTTCAGGGAGTGGTATTGCTTGTGATACACTGTTTTGTAAAACCTGCTGTGCAAGCAGTATGCTTGTAAAAAAATTTATAGAGTCTGTAGCGGTTGTAACAATAATTTTGTTTTAATCTTTTGCTTTTTATGTGCTTTATGTATTCATTAAACTGTTGACATCACAAAAACCAGTGTACTAATGATTTAATTTGTTTTAAATGCTTTAATCCATTAACAGAAGTTGCAACAAACTACTACTTGTATGTGACAGGTTTTTAGTTCACTAAGAGGCTGCGTGTCCTTCTGCAAAATTTAGTTAGAACAGTGCATTGGACAGAAGGGAATAGAGAGGTTTCCTTCTGGAAGGAAAGGGTAGGCTTTGAATAACCAAAGCTCCTGAATTTGATGTTCTTACTGAATCTGGCCTCTCATTTGTAGCAGCCTAAAAATGAATTAGTGTAACAGAACTGCCAGTCTGAAGCTCATTTAGCTTGTGCAGTGGTAGAACCTCAGACTACTTTTGATCTGCCTGGTTTTAAAAAATCACCTGTACAAAACAAGGAAATGCCAACTGGTGAGTACACACACCATGTGAGAAGTGAAAGGCCTAAGAGCCAACACCATGGGATTGACACTGACATGTTCATTTAACACCTGTATGCTCACAAATATGTTATTTGTGCTTAATAATTAACACATTATCTAATGCACTGGAACCTGCATTTTCAAGGAAGTTACTAATTGAAGTAATTATTACAAGGTACTAGAGGAATTTGAGAATTGGACTAGGTTATATGCTTTTTGAGTGGTACTTTGAAGTGCAAGCACTAAATTTTGGTAAGGTATTGCTTTGTGCTCACCTGACATCAGCTGCATGGCAAGGTTTGTTTAGAAATGGGACAAAGTATTTGGGGCTTGCTGATTTGTTTTACAACTTAAAGAGGAGATCATGACTGGGAGAATGCCTGTGTGCTCCGCTGCTTTTACTGTTTTTATATGGTCTTGTGCCTCTTACATTCAGAAATGTATTAGTAATGTGTTCAGGCTAAAATAAAAATTAATCAACTAAAGCATTTAAAGAATCTCTGTTTCTAATCACTCCACAAAAGGTTTTCCCCTTTTATTAAACCTCTAACAGGACCTTTCAGTTCAGTCTTTGCTTGACTATTTCTAGAGTCTTCTATCCACTAATATGATATAACGATAACAGTAGTATAAGTTGCATGCAGAAGAGCCCCAAGGATTCTTTTGAGCACTTGGTGAAGTTCAAAGCTTGGTGCCCTTTGCCTGGGCCTGAGCCTGATGGCAGAGCTGGTGGAGGAGCAGTGATGGCAACTTTGGGATCTTTTAGTGGGAATTAACCTCAGCTATTCTCAGCCATGCCGCTCTTGTTCACCTGCATGGCCCCTCAGCCCAGCTGAGAGTAAGGTCTGCATTTAATTTTAAAACCATGTATCAGAGGGGGACGTTTGTTTAAAGAAGTGCAAAGACCAGACAGGGATGTACATACAGATGGCCAAAATGTACACACAGATGGTCAAATAGGGCTTTTAAAAATTTAGCACAAGGATTTTCTCCGCCTAAGAACAATTTAATGTTTACCTCTCTGCAGATAAAGCAGTTTGATAAGTATGAAATTGCTTTATATTAAAATCTGTTATATTTTTCTATCACATTCCTTGCAAATGAAGAACTGCATTATCCTTAGCACTTTCCATCCTACAATGCCAAAATAAATTACTGTACTTCAGCTGTTTTCAGTTTACACAATGGTCAATGCTGCCAGATAGAATACCAGAGCAAAAGTTAGTACTTTTTTTGTCCCTGACCTTGTTTTGTACCTCTGTCATCACATAGCATTATTGACAATTGCTGGCTTTCACCTTTTTACTGATGGAAAATATCTCACCATGTTCCTGAAATGGTCTCCATTTAAGACACATTACACTCCAAAGTTACTTGGCTTAATTTCTGAGCTGCAAAAGAAATCATCCACTGTCATTTTCAGGTGATTTTACTGAATTTTTTACAAATCAATTTAAAAATATTGGTAAAGCACAAATCTTTTGCTTATGATGCATCTACTTCTCTATTTCTGATACAACATACAATTAATGTGCCTTGGAAATTGTATGAGCCTCAGGTTTGGAGTGGTCCATCCTCCCCACTTTATACTAATAGTATTATTGGAAATTCTACCACGTAAAATTTCTTTCAAAGAAATATTCTATTAATCATGCCATGTCTAAGTATTTCATAATAGTAAACTCTCCTTGCTATTACACTCTGACTACAAGTTATGCTGACACAGGCAATAGTGCTTTTAACAACCTGTATGAGAGTTTAGCTTGTCACCTGCTTGCCTATTAATGGCAGAAAAGACATAGAATTGGGCAAATCCCTCAAAAAAGAGAACTGATCAAATATTTGGTGGGGGGGTGGATGGGTGATTGCATGCAATCTGAGATTTACAGAAATCAAAGTTTTAGTAACATTTTTCTGGCCAGCAGCTGTACAGTGATAGTGTACACCTGGTGTTTATAGCTTTGTTTTCTAAATAATTCCCATCTTGCTTATTGTATTACCTTCATGACTATATGAAAATACCAGGGAACAGGACAACTAAAAATGGTATAAATTACTGCTTTCTTACCAATGGCCATACTATACCCCATAATGTTACATTGTTTTGCTGCAGCAACAGCAACAAACATGCATCTCCACCAAATATGCAGGTGATCAGTACACACTGATCGTGGTGAATAGCAGTGCAGGATGCCTTCCATATCTTGCCCATGTACAGTAAAGTCCTAAAGGCTGTGAAGTTTGATGGTAGCAGAAGCTACTTAGAGAATACCTACTAGTCAGTCTTTTTTTTTTTTTTTTTTTTTTTTCTGGAGTGATGATTCTCAAACAAAATCCAAAACAAATCCAGCCCCCAAACCCCCACCCAAACCATGGATCATTTCAACAAAGTTTAATCTATGTCATTGTACCAACTTGAACAATAACAGAACAATACTGAGATGCATCAGAGACTATGTCCAAGCAGATAAAGACCTTCTGTCATGAAGAATATTTGAATAAAATCATTAATGCTAGGCAGAAAAAATGCTTCAAAAAGCCAAGTGAAATTAAACTACTGGGTTTTGCCTCCAAAACCATTTATCAAGTGTCACAACAAAGGAATAAACTGGACACAGGGAAAAAACCCAGAAGGTATGGTGGCACTGGTCTCCCATTTGAGTCCCATCATCAACCAGAACCCTCCTGAAAAACTGCCCCTATTCTTATTTTTTCCCCAGTAATTCTTTTACCTGCTAATTTATGAACCCTAAGCATCAAGGCACTAAGGGGTAACGGGGTTATGGAGAAATGTGGTTCTGGATTATTTGGCACCTCTCTTGATGGGACTGTTCTCCATTGTTTCCTTCTTCTTTGTGTTTCTTACTTTTCAGTCATCTCTACTGCCATGTTTGTTATTCCTGTCATTCTGCTAAGAATTCTTCCTCTTTTCATTCATCACCTATTTCTAGACAAAGATTTATCTCAGCCCAACCCTGAAAGGCAGAATCTCCTGCATTCTACATCCCTCTTCCTGCCAATTCTCCTCTATACCTTTGAGCAAGTAATTTAATTTCTGTCTTAACTTCCACATTAGTAAAAATTAACAGTACCATTATAAGGATGTGTGGCTCATCCTAAAGTGATTTAAAAAGCCTGCTGAATTAGGTAATTAACTATAATGTCATCACCAGATCAGCCAGTGGGGAAGACGTCAGCGTTCCCATTGCTTTTGGTAACAGATCAGCAAGTCGTGAACAGCCTGGGACAAACACTGCCATGAAGAGCCAACTGCTGCCTGGGTTGTACGTGAACAAAGATGGAACCAACACCACCGCAGCTCTGATTTAGCAGTGCATGCTCACAGAAGTTACATTCCTCCTAGAATAAGCATGGAAAAATACATCCCACATATTTGAATAAAATCATTAATGCTAGGCAGAAAAAATGCTTCAAAAAGCCAAGTGAAATTAAACTACTGGGTTTTGCCTCCAAAACCATTTATCAAGTGTCACAACAAAGGAATAAACTGGACACAGGGAAAAAACCCAGAAGGTATGGTGGCACTGGTCTCCCATTTGAGTCCCATCATCAACCAGAACCCTCCTGAAAAACTGCCCCTATTCTTATTTTTTCCCCAGTAATTCTTTTACCTGCTAATTTATGAACCCTAAGCATCAAGGCACTAAGGGGTAACGGGGTTATGGAGAAATGTGGTTCTGGATTATTTGGCACCTCTCTTGATGGGACTGTTCTCCAGTGTTTCCTTCTTTGTGTTTCTTACTTTTCAGTCATCTCTACTGCCATGTTTGTTATTCCTGTCATTCTGCCAAGAATTCTTCCTCTTTTCATTCATCACCTATTTCTAGACAAAGATTGATCTCAGCACAACCCTGAAAGGCAGAATCTCCTGCATTCTACATCCCTCTTCCTGCCAATTCTCCTCTATACCTTTGAGCAAGTAATTTAATTTCTGTCTTAACTTCCACATTAGTAAAAATTAACAGTACCATTATAAGGATGTGTGGCTCATACTAAAGTGATTTAAAAAGCCTGCTGAATTAGGTAATTAACTATAATGTCATCACCAGATCAGCCAGTGGGGAAGACGTCAGCGTTCCCATTGCTTTTGGTAACAGATCAGCAAGTCGTGAACAGCCTGGGACAAACACTGCCATGAAGAGCCAACTGCTGCCTGGGTTGTACGTGAACAAAGATGGAACCAACACCACCGCAGCTCTGATTTAGCAGTGCATGCTCACAGAAGTTACATTCCTCCTAGAATAAGCATGGAAAAATACATCCCACATGGGCTGTGTATTCTGTTGCTGCCTGGTGAGAGCCAGGGTAGCAGCACTGGAAGCTTCTGATGAAGTGTCAGCCATGCCCAGGAACACAAAGCCCCGTGGACAAAGCCCCTGCAAATCCCAAGATTAAGCAATTTCTGTATTCAAGTGCCTGTCAGATTTCTCATTAAACTATATCACAGATTTCCATATTATTAAAATAAGAAAGAAAAAGCATATATATTTATTGAAAGGATGCATCTTAATTCCTGTTTGGCATACATATTTAGAAACCATACTGACTACCTAAATTTCAACCTGGATAGAAATTTCATTAGAGTTTGGGATTCAGAGTCTGTTTCCAGGACTAACACAAAATCAGCTGAGTGGCTTACAAATTCCCTGTTGAACTATCAGCTTTTTCTTCCACAGCACAGTGATCATCACATAATGCTTAAAGGATAATTTTAGTCTACCAGTACAATTCCAAATGTCTTAGTGGGGGTGGTTAAACATTATGGACAACCTACAGGTTGTGGAACAGTTTGGTTTTCTAAGACAATCTAAATGCAATTTTCATGTCTATATGAATTTGAAATGTGTGGCTTTTGTATGATGTCTTTTAAATTCATGCACAGCAACTCATTAGGTATCCTGTGAAGAAAAGCCACTGGAAATTATGAAACCCATTGAACCCACAAGAAAGCCCTTTATTTTCTATCTTTACCTGGTTTGACTGCATTTTAAAACAGCTATTTCCATATTTTATGTGTATGGATTTTTCCAGTAGAGAAACAACATGGGATACTTTAGATTTTCATCTCACATTCTAAAGTAGGCAACAAAAGCACACAATGGTGATACTGAAAGGAACTGTAAAAAGCCGTAAATTCAAGTACTCCAAAAGTATCTTAATACTGTTATTGGCACAAATGCATATCCCAGACTGATGAGGAGTTAGAGCTAATTACATGCATATGGAATCTTCAGCTATAAGTAATCCTCTTGTGGAGGATGAGTCCTCAGAGAGATTATAACATGCATTTAAAAGTCCCCCCTAATGCATCTGAGTTGCAAGATCTGACATATCCCATTTATAGCAAGCCAAGTCAGGGATGGATTTCATGACTGAAAAACAAGCCTGTAACTGCTTAACTGTATCCATTTTATACCCAGAGCCAATTGTTGCACAACACTGAAAAACATGCATATATATATCTATATATATTTACATATATATATATACACACACACGTATATATCTCTGTGTGTGATATATATATATACACACACACACACACCTCCACACACAAACACACACTTTGGTATCTTCAGGTCAACTGGAAATGTAATAACCTTGCACAAAACCCCAAATGGAGCCCATATTGTTAGTTAATTAACATTAACTAATTAGTAATAATTTATTAAATTTTAATTTATTAATTTTAAATAATAATTTTTCATTTATTAACAGAATAATTTTAATTATTTTTTTAATTAACGGCTCTTACAAGGTACTAATACAGGTTGTGCCAATAAATGTAATTAGTCTGATGTGAAAGTACATGGCTAACACAGGGAATGCAATTCCAATGTATAGCTAATGTTGAAACTTAAAATACCTGCATGTTTTCTTTGCACTGCATTCACAGTTACTCTCTCTTTTTTTTTTTTGTCTTAGTGGCCAACATACCACCATACTACCAAGGTAGGTGACACAGTAAAAATATGCTACTTTCCTGTGCATCACCAGAAAAAAACATAAAATGTTTTTTTAAAAAATCACTCCCCTTACAGGATAACTGCAGGTATTTTATGTATATTTTTAAGAATTCTTATTTAGATTATTAATCCTTAAAACTATTGATTTCACAGTGAAGTTGAAAACTATGTTTTTGTCATCAGATCTCCCAGTTACTGCTTTAATTAATAGTACTGGTAAATCTTTTTTACTAAGATCATTCAGCTTTAGGGTTCCTTTTGGCTTTTTTGAAGGCGCAGCAAAGTTGACTTAGCTGAGATCCTTAACTGAGGTCAAACATTTCATTAATGTTAACTGGGAACAGGAAAAGCTGAGTGTTCTTCTGTTCAGTTACTGAAGAATTATTGTATGTTTAAACTTTCTTAAAGGGTACAACAGAGGCACCTCCACTTGAAACTTCCCCACCAATACCCAAGGGCTCTGAATTCACACTCTTACTTGGCAAGTACCTTTCAAAATACATCGATATGGAAGCCAAGGATGCCTTTTATTGGCAATGCTCTCAAGGCTGAAATTCTTAACAACATTGCAAGAGGTGTGGGGAGAGCTCACTGCAGCCCCTGGGTGAAAGAGACAAGTAACACAAAAAATAAGAAGCAAATTACACCCCTTCCTGAAACTCAGTTGCTCTTCTCTATTCCTGTAAGGTTTTAACAAGAATATTATTTAAAACCAAGCACTTAAAACATGTTTAAAGGCAAATAGTGGTGATCTGAATGCATGAATGAACACACGGTAGGTAATGGTTAAACTGAGTTCATTCAGAAAGGTCCACTTATATCACACCATCTCAGTGGCCCATCGTAGCAGTATAAATCAGTTTTCTCTTTTAATTTCAAATCCATTAGAATTTACCTTTAAACACTTGCAGATATCAGTTATTACATAAACAAAAGCAGTCTCTGAAAAACACCATGGAATCTTGTTTTCTGTCCCTAGAAGTTCAAAAACTGAAAGAGAAAACTAGAGGTGAAAGAGTAATTTCAACAATGAATTGAGTGGAAACATGTAAATTACCTGTCACAAATAAACAATAATATCAAAGGTTCTGAAGACAGATGAAGTTTGCTGATGACAATATGAATGGAAATTGCTTCATTTTAAACACCAAGAAATTCACACAGAAAAGTAATTGAAAATTACTTCAGATTTGCTACTGCTTCATACACATTAAAACAGGAGACTTTGTATTTATAGCACCATAACCTTTCCAATAAGCCAAGTTATTAGCACCTAATAATTGGTCAGAAACCAAAATCAAGAAACTCAACCCTGTCTACATTCTAAAACCTTGTTATCCCAGTTTCTCTCCATTCATGTCGCAATTCATAGCCCATCAGATCTGCAGCACCATGGTATTTATACTAAAGACAAGGTAGTCAGCAGCTTCCAAAGGGAGATTAGAATATAGATTAAGAAGACAAAACTGTGACTGAAGTAACTGATTCTCTCTTCCTAACCATGGTAGCAGAGGCTATTTTGGAACTGGAACTAGCGACCAAGAAGAAACTGCTGCAGAATTGTAAGCAGAACTGACTGCCTGACACTATGGAGGTCTCACAGATCCAAAATTCATATGTTCCTGCTTTTAAAACAATTAAGTGTCCGCATATTATTAGCATGCAAAAAAACAACCTGATAAAAATCAGCCAAACTTCTCTGCATTGGTTAGTTTTTTTCCAACAGAAGTCAATGTCATAAACCACAGATCTGACTTCATTTAGACTGCTGCTCAGGAAGCCCTTCTGAAAATAGAAAGCCCTACTGAAACAGAAATTGTCAGCCTCACTTGGTTCCCTCATTCTGAAAATAACATTGCTCTTGCAGCTCATGAGCGTTACAAGTCTTTGGGAACTAAAAATGATACATGATCTATTCCTGCTTTTCCATGCAGAATGATCCAACATGATTTTAAGGTTTTTTCTATTTTGGTTTATTTTCTAAAATCACAGTCTATGATCCTACTTAAGAAAAATTTCCTATTTACGGAAAATTACAAGGCTTCCGTTACCTGAACTCTCCAATAAGAGCCTCATTTCCACACTGGGCTGTAACATCAAGAACAAGTGCATCCATATATATGCACAACGTATGTGCCTATACATACTGTGTATTTGCCTTTTCACAGCACTGACAACTGTAGAGGGCAATCTCTGTAGATTCCCAAGGCATATGCCTCCTCTCTTCTCTTTTGAAAACAATTCTTCATGCCATGGCTGATAAGCTGTCCTTCCCAGCTGACTGGGCGATGCGCCTGTTCTGCTTTTCAGGACATACATGCAGCCAGGGTCAGCCACCACGTCGGGTCCATCCCCCCGAGATCTCAGCATGGCCGGCCTGTTGATGACAACCCTGTAGTCCACTTCTTCAAGAACATTGTAAGTCCCCCCTCCTCTTATACACCAAAATTAAATATTTCCTTTAGAATCCATCAGTAAACAAACACTCCCCAATCATTACCCTTTATTTCAAGCCTCAAATTGAACTGTGCCTTTTGAGCTCATTATGCCATTCAAATACAAAATTTTTACCTAGGAAACAAACAATACTGGAATGGTACCAAAAAAGCATGTGAACCTCCATTAGCATAGCCAAATGCTAACCATGTCAGTTATACAGCTTCACCACAGACAGGTTTTGTCCCTGTGTCTTTAACACTGGCAGTATTCAGGAATTATTACTGTTTCAAGATGGACATAAATCCAGTGTATTCCAGGCAAGCCTAAGACAGCAGAGGAGCTTCTCAATGGATAATTGAGAAGCTCATGGATAATGTGCAAAAGGCCTGATGATTTCTGGCATTTATTTTTGCCTTTGACAACTCTTTTGTGTTGGCTTTTAGGTCTCACCCCGTACACCACCCCCAATGCAAGCAAAGGTAAGCAGTTTCAGGAACTCAAGGCATTTATGGGCTAATTCCCACTAATTCAACTGCAAGTCTGATTCACTGTCCCTAATGACACTAAGTAAAAGTCTACAGGTATCACTGGGAACAATTTAAAGCAAGAGTGTAAGACATAGAAGCTATGGTTCTCTTACTCACGCACTTCCTGACTTTGTGCAGGACTAATTGACGCCACTTGCAGGGATTTTTATATTCAATTTATGGTGTGATTGCTTTAGGTAATGAACTAACAATAGGTAATGCTTTCAAACAAGCCTCACCAGCCAGGAGCTGTCATTCCATATATACTGAACTGGCTTTTGAAGTACATGATACTGACAAACCATGGCTAGTGAAGTCAGTTCTAGTTCTTTGCCTATTTTTTCCTTCATGAAATGAATGTACAGACTGTTGTTCTCAGCTCCTACCTGCCTCATTATCTGACCATTATTTCATAATCTTGGCTATCTTTTAATCTTCTTCTACAAACCGTGGCTAGTAAAGTCAGTTCTAGTAATTACAATAAACAATTTTGCCTATTTTTTCCTTCATGAAATGTATGTACAGACTGTTGTTCTCAACTCCTGCCTGCCTCACTATCTGACCATTATTTCATAATCTTGGCTATCTTTTAATCTTCTTCTGTGTATGGCAGACCCAGATGCTGTGTTCCATAGTGATCACCATGTCATTGTTTCTATTTCTTGCATGTACAGGGAAGAGGATTATCCCTCACCAGATTTAGCTGGGTAGGTGATGAACGTGCTTTCGGTAACAGCCCTTTTATTTACCAGGCCAAAGCATCTCTCACTCCATTGCCTCAAGCTGCTGCAGCAATGCGATAATTTTGTTTTGTCTCAAGTTTGCTATTTTGCTTTTCCTGTTCCACTTTCCTTCCTCCTTCCACAGCACTTTAAGATGGTAATTGTGTTGCTTGCTCTTATCCTGCAATTTGACAGCCCTTGCAGCAATAATTTCTTTTGCTTCAGCACAAAGGGAGCAAAATCCACTGCATGGCAAAGCTCTCTTCCTTTAAAGGTTCCTGGAAGACCCATCTGGTGCATTTTTCTTCTCCTGGAATGGACAAAAACAGGAGGGAAGGCTGGGACGAGATAGGTGCTTATTCCACTTCAGCAACTGCTTTTACACAGTCTGCAAAATTAATGCTGTCACTAACCTCAGTATTTTGTTCCACCTTTCCTGTCAGTTAGAAGTGATCTGCCTAAGCAATTCCTAGACAAGTTCTTCCCACTGTTCTCTCACAACTAATTAAATTCTACTTCTCTACCACAGGTTTGATTTTATATGAGATGGCATGTAAATTACTGGCATTTTAAGACAAAATATCAAAGCCTTCAAGTCATTAAGCATTTCTTTCACCATCAGAACACCACATATTATCTGATGTGTTTGACATCTTAAACTCATGAAATTAAAACATTTTAAGTTTTTTTCACACAGGTTAACCTGAGTATTTAATTTTTGAATATAAATTCATTTTTTACAGATTGATGCTTCCCTCAGATTTGAATCTATTCAGATAATTTCCTAACATTTTCCTTCATCCTTGTTTATTACATAAAAGATTTTATTGCAACAACCTCCAAATTCCTCATTTAAGTATTACATTTCAGTGATCACAAATAAAAACTACAACATGCATATGATAATTTGAATGTGACAATTTGCAATATACATGAAAATCTTTCTTTGCAGGGTGGTGAAACACACAAGCCAGGATATGGAAGCGGAAAATTCTATGAGCATAAATCTGCTCATAAGGGACACAAGGGATCCTATCATGAGGGCCAGGGCACTCTTTCCAGAATCTTTAAACTGGTAAAGTACAATTGAACTTTAAGTACAAAAAAATTGAACTGGGAAAAAGAGAAGCAAACCTCTCCAAAACCTGCCATGTTTGAAACAACCATATTTCCTTAAAGCTTCTGATGGAATTAGACTTGCACAGATAAACCAGAAGGTTGTTTTGTGGCTTAGTGACTACTTACATGATAAGAAACAAAGGTAAAAATACACAGTTAGTGGGCAACAGGAAAGAAGGTAAGTCCACAATGTCCCACAAAGACCTGCACCAGGTCAGTGTTGTTACTGAATGCAAAAATGATCTGAAATACAGAAGAAAAATGAGATGACAGAGCTCACTGCTGCTGAATTATTTAGGATAGTGAAAATGAAAGAGAAGTGATGAACTGCAGAAGGGTAGTACAGAGCAGTGTTGGACACATGTGGATGCAGTAACAACTCCAGCAGTCCCTGCTTGTTCCCACCCCAGGTGGGAGAATTCTTACAATATGCCAGTATCGGAAGTTATGAAACCAGAAAGTAGGGCAAATTAGAAAACTGTCATATTAGAAATAAACACTTGGTCAGATTATCTTTAGTCTGGTTCAATTCCCCATTTGAAGGCACAGCACAGCCACAACACCACAGGCAATAAATGAAAACAGAACAGGAAAAAAAGGTCAGTTGTGAGGATTGTTCACATTCTATATCAGGAAGCAGAAACATGAAAAGCAGACTATATCCACTGGCAGATACTTTAACGAAGACTGTATTTTCCCTCAAAGGCAATAATGGCAGGGAATTCACTTACAACAAATCACCCAATACACTATTAGCACATGAAGATGCCATCAGCAGTCATCTTAACTTCCAAGTCAGAAGGTCTGAGATCCTTAACAGAGCTGATCATTTCAGACTCTTACTATTCCTCTCCTCAACAGGAGATGTTACAGTGCCGTCAATTGCAGAAAAACCCACATTTTTGTCTTGTAACAGTTTAGGTTTTATATCTCCCATTGTACAGTTGTTTTCCAAATATATGCAGCACCAAGTGACAGCACAAAAACTTCAAGGAAGTAGTAGGAATTCTTCTGTTGCAATTTAAGAAAAGGAATGATTTCTTCAGAGGCCCAGGTAAAAATCAAACACATCTTAAGTCTTATTTTCACACTGTGCACTTGGTTTTAGTGGCATTCAGGTACATCAACTATTCCATGGCTATATACTCTCATTATTTGTAAAACTTCATCATTTCAACATCTGAAAATATGCATTAATGATCTCTCATGAAATTTAACATTCTTTTTTTTTTTTGCATACTCATCACAGCTATTCTAGCTTATTTTTATATATATCTGAGAGATACACACACCAGTTTTAGTTTTTAGATAACCTTTTCCCAGCCATTATAACTTCTGGAACTTTTATACGAGTTTTATTGATACCTATTTGATTTAGACCTATTGTTTACAGCAGGAGGCATTAACTACTGTTTCTTCATATAGTTCAACAGTCTTGCAATAAAAAAAAGTTATCCATTCTTTAAGATATCTTTGAAAGAAAAAAAGCCAATTACCTAATGAATTAGTCTGAATTTTCCTGTAACAGTTCTCTAAAACTAAGGTGGCAGCACGGAAAGATGAGAAGAACATAAATGAAGAAAATAAAGTCTCAAAGTACACGCATGTGGTTTTTTTTCAAGTAAACAGTTCAGTACATTACAGTAAAAATGACCACACCATCTTACATTTGTGGTCTTAAGTGCATTTTCAGGATTTGCCTATAGAAGAGTTGCTAAAGCTAAAGGACAAGATACCAAGTTAGCCTAATCTCAAATTCCAAAAAAATAAATGTCAGAATTTCAGCTTGAATCATCTTTGCTATAAAACTGCTTCCTTTCTCAAGTGCAGATTTATGAATTGTCACAGGTTTTTCCCCACAGTTTAACACTTTCTTATTATTTCTGAGAAGAGGGCAGGTTTCAGCCCTTTTATCTTTTCTTAGCTTTCTCCTGTACCTGCATCTGAGCTTTCTATATAAGCCTCATGTTGATGTAACACTGAGAATTTACGGCAGAACTAAACTATTAAATTTCAGTTCTTTCAGATGTGAAACTATTACATCTCATATGCAAGGTTTGGAGATTTTGTTTTGTTACTTGTTTTAAAGTATACACATAGTAAAGAGTTCATAAAAATGAAATTTTCCATGCTGTCCAAGGAAACAAATTGTTTCCCTTAGAAAGGCCTGAATAAGAACATGCACTTAGAAGTAGTTAATGAGAGACTGCCTCGTCCTCTGTGGAAGATTTAATGACAGCAAGTTAATCCTATGTGAAAATCAATCTTCTTTTTGAGGTGAAAATTCCAATATTTAGTGACATACTAGAAGCAACTGCAGGCTATTTTCATTAGATAGTATTTAAAATTTTATCATACTTACAACAGATTGATATTCTTCAATGCACAGCCCCAAATACATATTAATTTCTAATTAATGCAACTGTGTTCTTCCCTCCACAGGGAGGCTCTGGGTCCCGACCTGGATCGCGGTCTGGTTCCCCCATTGCTAGGCGCTGAAGCTCCAAGATGCCATCCAAGGATCATGTACTCTGCTTCATAATATAACTGCCTTAAAATTAGTAACAGCTGCCACAATTACCTAGATAGATGCAATCCATTACTTAATGCCAATTAGATTCTGCATGCAGTAGATGATACAAACTTCTATTGGCAATCCCTGAGCAACAGTTGAATGAAAGGAACACACAAAGTAGCTTTGCTAGATGTTTTCCTTATTTTATGTGAAGTAACAAGATCTCTGACTTTACCCCTTCTTCTTCAGGATGCCCTAACTGTATGCTGGACTCCTTTATTTCTCCCAAGCACCTAATTTAAGCTCAACCCTTCTGGTTTCGTTTTAGTGAACATCAGAATTACAAATAAAGAGCTATAATGTCTTGGACACTGAGCACTGCTGTTAATGAATTTTTGAGACACTGCTGTTGAAAACAAAAAAAAAATCCAACATGTGCAGAAGTTGTAAGGACTGTTTATCCAAATTTTCTTTTTGGTTTCTTTTTTTTTTTTCCTTTTCTTTTGTTTTGTTTTAATCTTCCTTCTCTCACTCACAGAATAATTAATTTTCATAACAGGATTAGGCAGTCATGGAAAGGTTTATCAAACATTGGGAGTTCAAGGTATGTGAAGTGTGGGAGGGGGCAGATGTTGAAGAATCAATACGATGTGGAGCAATAGCAATAAGGAAATTCTTTCCATACTATGATTTGCTCATTGCATCCAAACCATTAGAATAAAGAGTAGATGAGGGAGAGAAAGAGGATTTCAAATTTGAGTTAGACTAATGTTACAAAACAAGGGATATTCCCAGAGAAACATCTAAGACTGCACATGTGACCACTGGACGTCACTGGTGCTTCACATAAACTCTGCTGCAATAGCATTAATTTTGCAGTACAATAAGTAAATAAGCGTATAAACAAAAAAAGTCTAATTTCTGAAAGAAAGCCCTTCAGTACTGGTATCTCAGATAGTCCTGCACATCTCACATTAGAATTTGAATTCTTTCTCTTGGTATTGCAGCAGTGTTGTATTTGATTGGCTCATCTTTTGCCTGAGTAACACCTGGATGCCTTTTAAGGGCAGTGCACCAAAGCAAACTCGTAGTAAACTACTGTGAACATTTAACTGTTGTATTGTAGTTGCCTCATAGAAATAAATTATAGTTCAGTTAGATTTAGATATGAATTGTTCATAAATTACTAAAATGAATGTGTGGAGATGGTATTCCAACCACACTTAGGGAAACAAAAGGCTCTTCTGAATTGCACTGTTTTATTACTTAAACTTACTATTTCTTCAAACTGTCATCTAAGTGTCTGATTAATTATTTTATTTTTTTAGTTTTAGCCTATGCACTGTAGATTACAATTAGTGCTTCCTAGGTTGAAACAGCATTCCTAATAAGTGCCCAGTAAAAGTTACCTATAAATATATATGTTATTTACATTTCACATCTAAATCTATTGTAGGTTTAAATCAGTGTCCATTAGTATGAAGCAATGGAAGATGAGATGATAGAAAATACATAGAGACTAAAGAAAACAAAACTGCCAAAATTATTATGCATACACACACTATTACATCTATTACCTTTGTTGGTTGCTATGTGTATTTTTCTATTGTAGCTTCATTCAGATGTATACTCTGCAACGTAATAGTTGATTTAATTTGAACAGGTGTTGTTCTTATAGGAACACAGCTTTTAAAAACAGTCACTATTGAAATAAAGTAATCAACTTGAAATGAAACTTGGGCCAGTTTTGTTTTTTACAAAGGAGAAGAATATACATATATTTATATATAGTTATATATATTTATGTCTGTTTGATTTATTGCTCCCCCACCATCCCCTAGGGTTTATTAATAATGTTCAGATACTAGAAAATAACACAATGACACCTTGGGACCCTGCACACAGGCTTCTAGCGACATTGTATGGCCCAGAAGGTTGACAATAGGACACAAGAATTATGGAATGCCAGTGTCTACGGAGTGACAGCTACAGGCCAGAGGGATATTGCAAGGCACAAAATGTCTATGAACAGGAAATAAAAACCAGCCCCCTTCATGAACAACTGTGGTGCAAAAAGCCCTCAAAAATGTGAAAGATTATTTAAAATAAAAAACCCAGAGAAATACGTATTTCAAAATACTGCTCTGTAGAGTAACAGAATTTAACCAAAACTTCTTTCTTGCCTTCATCTCTCTTCTTTCCCCTCAGTTACCTTTCCCAGAGGGTCGAAGTGGCTTTTTTGGATTTATTTGCTTTAGAGAAATAGGTACAGTACTTGAAGGCATTGTTTTACCAATATGAAAAGAGACTAAAACTTAGCCTGAAATTTATTCTTTTAGTTACACACCAGTAGTTTTAATGAAAACCTGCAGTTTAAATGGCCATTTGATTTTTAAGGAAAGGATTTTTCCTGAAACAAGAATGCAGAACCAATACCAGGAGTGTGTAATTTAATGTACTGAAGGAATGGACATATAAAAATAATTGTGAGCAGACTCAAGCCAAAACCCCCAAGGCTAGCACAAGCCTACTACTGCATTGAACCAGAAAGAACGGGGCTGTTAACTTACCCACTATACAATGTGACACATCAACACTCCTCAGAACAAGAGTTCTTCTGCTTCCTTACATAATGCATCTGCTTTAATGCTGCTTTTGAAAATATCAACATATTGTTTACCGTGTCTGTATTTGTCCTGAACATCAACACATACACTGTTCTGAAAAGCTCCAACTCAATCTTACCAAGGCTATAAAAACTTCCGTCAAGACACTTGAAGTTCATGGGTGAAAAGGATGCAGGGAAACAAATCATATACAATGCTAAAAAGAAATTTTTTAAAAGTCTATTACTGTGGCTGACAGGATTTCCAAGTGCTGGAAGAGTAGCAAACTGAATTCAGGAAAAATGCCAGCTGACTCCATAACTCACACTGTTTATTTAACACTTCCAAAACTTGCTGAACAGACTCACTGCCTCTAACCAAGGCGTAACACTTTGAGAAGTGACCCTTTAAAAATGCCATCTTTTTACTCATGAGATCTGCTTTTAGGTTTTGTGTACCAAATATCACAGAATCATTAAGTGGTCTGGGCTGCAAGAGACCTTAAAAACCACCTAGTTCCAAGCCCTCTGTGCATTTATACAGTATTCCCTGAAATACCAGGGAAAATATTTCATGCATGGTACACACAACACAGCACATTTTGCTATAATAATACAGATAAACAGTGTGCTATGCCGTAAGGCCAGACAACTGTAAAATATAATGTCTTTCTTTAACAGCTGAAACATTCACAGGCTGCCTGGAAGGGAAGGCACTGCTGGAAGGACTTTATTCTTCACATCTAATATTCAAACGTGCACTTCTGTGAACAGTTTTTCCAATCTCCTAGAATCCAGAATAATATGCTTAAAAAATACACGAAACAAAATTTGGAAAAAAGTAATATTATTTAGCATGTTTCTCAATTAAATATTCCACATAACAAAAGTGTTATTTTCATGTCACCAACTATATTACTTATATACATATGCTGAACAGTTAACAAAAGAATTAAGAGATGCCCTATCAAAACCAACAGCGATTTCTTGCTTCAGCAATCTGAAATAACTAGTTTGTATCACAGACAGAGTATAGACAATATTTACAGAAAAGGGCTTTTTGGATCTGAGAACAATTATCTTTTAGAAAGAAAATTAAAGTCCAGGCCTGTATTATAGTACAACATATCCACCACTGATCTAGAAGTACTTGTGGCAACCAAACAGATGAACTCCTTGCAACTGGGATTAGTATTTACAAAATATACTGATCAGCCACACAGAGGCTCATAAACTTTAAATATATATATATATACACATATATAAGCACACATATATATATATCTATATATATGTAACATAAATAAAATTCTAAAGAACAAGGCAAAAATAAGAAAACAGCTTCTGTCTTTGGAATGTCTAAAAGACAACTATGCTTTTACTCCAGTGTTTCTTTGCTATGAATATATTTAACAAGTGGCACCTTTGAAAGCAATACTCAAGTCAGCTAGGTAGTTCTGCTGAAACAATGACTTAAACAACAAATAAATGGAACATATTTCCAAAATCCACAAAGAAAATAATAAGGAATTTACAGATTCAAAATGATAACTGTTTACAGCACTGGGGAACTTTGTATAGTATAGGTGACTTAGTGTGCATCTAACTTTCTCACTGCTACCACAAAGTGGTATTTGTTTACCTCACAGATTGAGTATATGGCTGTTTTCCACAGATACTGAGATATGTACCTGCTGACCCAGTACAGCAAACAACAACAGAGGCTTTTACTCATTTGGATCCTTATAAAGTAATTATTGCCAAGTCCAAAACCTCAAGACTTTTACTGTAAAAACTAACATCTATCTGCCTCTGTGGTTGGAATGAAAATGAACATGCTCCCTCTCAAGAGTTTAACTCAAGAAAAGCCATGAGCTTGCAGTATTTTATTTTTTTTCAACAAATTCTCAAAATGCACTAAAAAAGAAAGCTTTCAAAAGCAATACAGCCTTTTCCTTGTAATAAAAAAAAGGCAAAACTCCACTGTTTTATACTGCATGCATCATCAACTGCAACACTGTTTCCAATCTCAATTATTTCTTTAAACACATTTTTTAAAAAGTTGACTGACAGTTTCATGATTTTCCTGTGAAGTTATTCTTCATCTCCATTAAAAATGGGAATCATTCTATTCTGATATAAAATTCCAGTTTATTTTTAAATAGATATACTGGCTGTGAATTCAAAGATGAAACTGTATACATTATTACCTGAGTTCATTGATTCACAGACAACTTAGCACAGATTAAATGAAGTTTTCCCAATGTTCTTCTACAAGTTTAAAAAAAAGAATTAATCTTTTAGGTATCTTTTGTAAATAATTAAAAAAACTATAATATATTATTCTATTGTTAGTATCTTCAATGCTTGAAGCTTTAACTGTAAAGTTCGAGTCCCAGAAATATTTTCAACTTTCAAATTTCAAGGTGTTATCGAAAAACATTGCCTATACTTTGCCATTCATTTGAAGATTCTTGTACCACTTCTTCTAAATTCAGAGCACGACTGATGTCTTCCCCTTCTTGTTCTTGGTGACTTGCAGGTTCTTGTACAGGACCTACCGAGGTACAAGAGAAAAGGCAATTGACTATGATTTGACATATGGCGTAAGAAAAAGGAAAATACAGCACTTGAGAAAAAAGGAATCATAATGGGAACAGTATTATACAATTACATCAGATACTGTAAATTTATTAGATAGCCTTGGATTTTTTTTTTTAAATCTAATACAATATACTGCTTTCCTGGAATAATGTTTCAACTCTGGATTTCTGTACACAGAGCTCCACATAAAGAACAAGGAACCATAAAAAGCAACAAATTGCTGTTTCAACCTGATTTTTGAGTTGCATGTGCAGCTATCTTCTCATCAGCTGTGGTCTTTGGCTATCAGTGCTTGATTCCTCAAGAACTTAAAGGAAGTGCTCTGTGGTCTCCTAACAAAATATATGGATTCCTGGCCTCAGCAGTACTACCACCATGCTACGTACCAGTGTAACCATGAGCCCGTTTCATATGCAGTTTCATATTGCTTTTCTGTGTAAATCCCATTGCACAGTAGTCACATTTATAAGGTCTCTCTCCTGTGTGCCTTTTCATGTGGACTTTAAGAGCACTCTTCTGGTTAAATGCCTTTTCACACAGTGTACACTGAAATGGCCGTTCCCCTTTATAAGAAAGAAAAACATACTTCTTAAATTTTCATTTTAAGATTGAAATACAGTTTGGAATTCAGTAAAAATTATCAAGATGATCTAGAAATGAAATAGACATCATCATTTTCCTTGAGACTTTCTCCAAACAGCGCTATAGCTCCACACTGTCAGCAAAAATCTCAAATTAAATGTCAGAATAGTTACATAAGTAGTAAATCATTGATATTATCCTTCCTGTCCAATTTATACCCAAGGTAAGTTATTTAACAGAGGTACAAAAAAAACCCAATTTACCAATTTGACTTTTCTGTACTTAAGGAAACTATCACCTTTTTACATCATGAAGAGTAATGCAGATAAAGCAATGTACTAGAATTAACAAAGCTGATGCCTTTAAGAAATTGAAAGGTCAAATATGTTAAAAAAAACCCATGTCCTAGTAATTCTACATGGGACTTGTGGCTTCCTATGCCAACAGCAACAAGTGATTCCCATATCTCACCAAAAGAGGCTTATTGTTCCAATTCTGCTAGACTACTACTGATTTCTAACTATAAACACAAGAACATATTAACTTAAAAATAGTTTAAAATTTAACAACACCTACTTTGGAAAACCAGACTTTTGCTTTAACACTCAACACCACAACCTCTGACATAAACACACTGTATGTCATGAAGGACTTCTAAAAGCACTCCATGCTATTAGCACAATAAAGCACAAGCAGGAGTAAAAACATTTTTCCAAGTTCTTTCTTACAGGACCAATATCTCTCTCCCTCCATTACCTGTATGTTAGTGTTTCCACCTGCATGCTAAATCCAACTTCTCAGACAACCAACAGAAGGTCCTTTAAAGCATAGATATTTTCTTTCTATTTTTGTTAACAACTTTTTCACTAGTTTGAAGAGAAATCCAGGCTTCCTGAAATCCTTTTGATTCCATTTTTTAAATTCACTGAACGTGACTAGCCTTT